GATATGGTCAACACTGATACGACCTGATCAACACTGATACGACATGGTCAACACTGATACGACATGATCAACACTGACACGACATGGTCAACACTCATACGACATAATCGACACTGACACGACATAGTCAACACTGATACGACATGGTCAACACTGATACGACATAATCGACACTGACACGACATGGTCAACACTGATACGACATAATCGACACTGACACGACATGGTCAACACTCATACGACATAACCGACACTGACACGACATGGTCAACACTGATACGACATGGTCAACACTGATACGACATAATCGACACTGACACGACATGGTCAACACTGATACGACATGGTCAACACTCATACGACATAATCGACTCTGACACGACATGGTCAACACTGATACGACCTGATCAACACTGATATGACATGGTCAACACTCATACGACATGATCAACACTGATACGACATGGTCAACACTGATACGACATGATCAACACTGACACGACATGGTCAACACTCATACGACATGATCAACACTGATACCACCTGATCAACACTGACACGACATGGTCAACACTGATACGACATGGTCAACACTGATATGACATGGTCAACACTGATACGACATGGTGAACACTGTCGTATGATTAACACTGACACGACATGGTCAACACTGATACGACATGGTCAACACTGATGCAACATGGTCAACACTGACACGACATGGTCAACACTGACACGACATGGTCAACACTGTTGCGACATGATCAACACTGATACGACATGATCAACACTGACACGACATAATCAACACTGATACGACATGGTCAACACTGATACGACATGGTCAACACTGACACGACATGGTCAACACTCATACGACATGATCAACATTGATACGACATAATCAACACTGATACGACATGGTCAACACTGATACGGCATGATCACCACTACTACGACATGGTCAACACTGATACGACATGGTCAACACTGTTGCGACATGATCAACACTGATACGACCTGATCAACACTTATACGACATGGTCAACACTGACACGACATGGTCAACACTGATACGACATGGTCAACACTGACACGACATGGTCAACACTGATGCGACATGGTCAACACTCATACGACATGATCAACATTGATACGACATAATCAACACTGATACGACATGGTCAACACTGATACGGCATGATCAACACTCATACGACATAATCAACACTGATATGACATGGTCAACACTGACACGACATAATCAACACTACTACGACATGGTCAACACTGATACGACATGGTCAACACTCATACGACATAATCAACACTGATACGACCTGATCAACACTGACACCACATGGTCAACACTGATACGACATGGTCAACACTGTCGTATGATTAACACTGACACGACATGGTCAACACTGATACGACATGGTCAACACTGATACGACATGGTCAACACTGATACGACATGGTCAACACTGTTACGACCTGATCAACACTGATACGACATGGTCAACACTGACACGACATGGTCAACACTGATGTGACATGGTCAACACTGATACGACCTGATCCACACTGATACGACATGGTCAACACTGACACGACATGGTCAACACTGATGCGACATGGTCAACACTGATACGACCTGATCAACACTGATACGACATGGTCAACACTGATACGACATGGTCAACACTGATACGACCTGATCAATACTGATACGACCTGATCAACACTGATATGACATGGTCAACACTGATGCGACATGGTCAACAATCATACGATATGGTCAACACTGATACGACATGGTCAAAACTGATACGACATGGTCAACACTGATACCACATGGTCAGAACTGATACGACATGGTCAACACTGATACGACATGGTCAACACTGTTACGACCTGATCAACACTGATACGACCTGATCAACACTCATACGACATGGTCAACACTCATACGACACGGTCAACTGGTCAACACTCATACGACATGGTCAACACTCATACGACATGGTCAACACTGATACGACCTGATCAACACTCATACGACATGGTCAACCCTCTTACACGACATGGTCAACTGGTCAACACTGATACGACATGGTCAACACTCATGCGACATGGTCAACACTGATACGACATGGTCAACACTGATACGACATAATCAACACTGATACGACCTGATCAACACTGATACGGCATGATCAACACTCATACGACATGGTCATCATGGATACGGGTTCGTGCTACTGGTATTGCCCGCGATTACGCCTGAAGCTGTGCCACATTGGCGGGTGCTGGGTCTCTCTCCACCCGAGAACATCCCACAGATGCTCTACGGGAACGTGTCGGGGGACTTAGCGGGCCAGTCCAATGTCCGTATGCCTTTTCGTTAGAGAGAATCGGTGACGGCCTTGACATTGTGATCATGCAGTTCAAAATTTCTGCTGATAATTCTAATGTAAGAACTACAGGATGCAAATGTCCATTCACAATAACCTAATCAGTTCGTCTGTCAAGCGTGATACTGCCCACACACCTTGACTCTACCGCCCAATATAGATCATGGTCAAGAAATGTTGCATTGGCATACCGCTCGCCGCTACGTTGCCAACTACGTTTCTACCATCTGTGTTTGTTTGTTTGTTGTTTAGCGCCGCACTCAGCAATATTCCAGCTGTATGACAGCGGTCTATAAATAATCGAGTCTAGACCAGACAATCCAGTGATTGACAACATGAGCATCGATCCACGCAATTGGGATCGATGACATGCATCAACCAAGTCAGCGAGCCTGACCGCCTGATCCCGTTAGTCGCCTAGCCTCTTACGACAAACATAGTCGTCTTTTACGGCAAGCATGGGTTGCTGAAGACCTATTCTACCCCGGGTCTTCACGGGCCCTACACTCTGTGAATCGAAGGCGAAAACTGGATTCGGCTGTCAACATAGTGTATATCGCCATTGTCGTACAGCCCGTCATGGCATGGTGTTGCCAAGCCCACCCCAATCTTTGCCGCCTATGGTAAGCTGTTTGGGTCACATCCTTCACAGGACACCATATTTTCAGGCGGGCTGCATAGAGTCGGTTTGTAACGGTAGATGTTGAAATTCGCCTTTCTGATATTGTGCAGAATTAGCTATAGGAGCAGATTTGAATCTATTGCAGAGTGCATACATGTAATGTAATGAGACGATCTTGTCTACAGTAGGTGTTTTTTTTAGGCCTGCAACACCAAGGTTTCCTTGCAAACCCACTCGGTTGACGGTACTTGTCCCACAGTTAATATACTTTTTGATTTGCCATTCATTAAAATGATAGAATTAAAACAACAAAGTATAGTCGCCATGACGCCGTCACTGGTCACGTATCGGTGACTACCGGATTAATTAGGCCAGAATACGTGCTGGGCGGGCCATCATCACCTGATCAGGTTGATGTCTGAATTTGGCAAAACGATATTCTGATATGAAATATAACATACATACCATGTTATGTATAAAAATAAAGCTTATTAGTCACTGACTGTGATATTGCCATATTACGACATTGTAGAGGAGTGTTAAAATTATCATTTCCCTACTAAAGACAGAACAGAATGGGAGTTAAATAAAACAGTTTTAGGTATGGCCCATTTTCCCACTTGAATTGACAATTTTACAGTTACAGGAAACATTTCTGTGATAGTTATTGGATATTTCATATGATTGACGACTATATATGTTTGTATATTTCTCGCAGATTTCGACTGATATCATAACGTACAAACGCAGCAAACAGAGAGGGGTTAACTGTGTGCCCATCGCCCAGGATAATCACTAATGACTAAATGTTTGCACTACTTTGTGTTTGCACCTAAATCTTAACATATCAGCTTTGGTTAAATTACACAAACGATGTCTTAGACCTATGCTGATGGAAATAGCTAAAACAAATAACCACCAATACAGGTCTATACAGTCTCCCGTCTACAGGAGTTCGAACAGAAACATGTATCAGTTTTAATTACCGATGTAGCGTATATGGGGTGTAGTTTTATAACACATTTATTGATATAGGAATTCCTGTTCTCATATTTTGGTATTTTGGCCTCAATCATTTCGTTAAACGACGCCAGGGGTTAGGGGGAAAAGAGGAAGATATCTGTCAAAACCATGTTATTCGTGAAAATGAATAATACTGAAAGTACACACACGCACTGATATATAAACATTATGATAATATATAATGTGTGCGTTTGTTCAAAGCATATATGTCTTACACTGAATGTGCGGATCCCTTAACAGGCTCAACTCAACCATTTGTCGAGCTAATGAAGAAACACTTGCGTATCGACATGAAGTCATTTACCACGTAATAAACACCTTTATATAGAGTGTATGCCGGGATCTGACACCATGCCCTGATGGCTAGTTCTAACTCACATGAACATATCCTATTACTGTCATAACGATGTTTAAAAGTGTTGCTCGCTTATAGTATTTGGTCCATGGCGGGCCCGTATCCATCCCTGTCCTTCCACATGCATACCCGCCTACAGCGGCAACCCGCAAATACAGTTTTACCAAATAATTTCCATTTCTTTCCCTCCCGCAAACTATACGAATAAATTAAATCTCAGTTTGAGAGTACCACTGTTCACTGTACTGATTATTGAACTGTGTGCCAATTTTTTTTTTTTATTACAAAGGTTCACGTTTGTTTTTCTTCGCTGTCTGTGTGGATCCACCAAAGCTCATATCGATGTCATGAAATAATGATGTGAAAATATGTAGCATTTCAATATTGCTTGAATTCAATAATCTGTTTTTGTGTGTAAAATAATTAGTACCTCATAGCGTCAAAATTAAATCGAACTATACCAAGTTTCTGTGATAATTTCTTTTTGGTAACGGTGTTTAAATTCAAGCATATTTATATGTGGCTTTGTATAATTTTGGTTGACAGATATCAGCTATTGACAAGTTGTCTGGTCAGCAGTATCGTTAACCGGAAGTTGGCAGTGCTCAGGAAAAGCGGGCATTTCCTTTGTAAATTTCAAGTTTACAGAAGATAACTAATGGAACTTGTGTATTCTCTTGATTTTCGCGCACTTCCGCGTTCCAGGGAATGGAAAGTTGAAGAAAACACTTGCTGTAGCCTATCATGTCGGAACATCCTTGCATTTAGCAGACCAAACAACAATGGAACGGACAGGTAAGTCACACTCACAGGGACATGACTCCGACTAACCATTGGCAGAATGTGGTCGCCAAATGGAACCCGAAAGGCCGAGGTCCATACAGTCTCCTGCATTGTTAGCCAGTGCCACCTCTGTACACAATGTAACAAAAGTAGTGGTGACATTCTGTCAACACCAACTGACGCCTGGTTGGCAAGACGTATACTAAGGGGAGGTAACTAACTAGGGCTAACACACTACATAGGAAATAATTTACTTGAGGGTCTGTATCTGAAATAGCACCGAAATATCCATGCATAAACTATATGCGTTTACTGTCATAATACATGGAGTATCAAATATATAAATGTCTGTCATTGTATGTGTGTTTACTCATCAGCAAATCTGCAAATGTTGGTTTGGTTTGTTTGTTGTTTTACACCGCACTCAGCAATAAGCAATATTCCAGCTATATGACGGCGGTCTGTAAATAATCGAGTCTGGACCAGACAATCCAGTGATTAATATCATGAGCATCGATCCACGCAATTGGGATCAATGACTTGCATAAACCAAGTCAGCGATCCTGACCATGCACCCGATCCCTTTAGTCGCCTCTTACAACAAGCATAGTCGCCGTTTACGGCAAGCATTGGTTGCTTAAGACCTATTTTTACCCCTGAATCCTTACTGGTCTCTGCAAATGTACTGGATAGATACTTAACTAAAGGGGTCCTTGTCAGCATGGGCACTATAGATATCATTTGTATCCTGGGGACATTTTTGTATATTAAAATGTACCCTACCCAAAATCAGAATTCAGAACGATACACGACACCCTATGCGGCAGATCATTCAATATTCCTCAATCTGAAACCGAACCTGTGAAGTTTCAGGGTAGAATAGGTCTTCAGCACACCATTTTTGCTGTAAAAGGCAACTATACTTGTTGTAACAGGCGACTAATGGGATCAGGCTTGCTGACTTGGTTGATGCATGTCATTGTATTTCAATTGTGTGGATCGATGCTCATGATGTTAAACACTGGATTATTTAAAGACTGTCGTAATATAGCTGGAATATTGCTGAGTGTGTCATTAAACAACAAACCAACAAACAATCCGAAACCAGTTAATGTAGTGGGTCTGAACCAGTGGTTTGCCTGATTATGCTTGATAATGCTGTGCATCGTGAGATATAAAGGTATTGTATGTACGTCAGTGTGTATGCTCATTTTTATCCCCCCCGGCATATAATGCGGGGGTATATAGCGATCAGCCAGTCTGTCTGTCCCTCCGTCTGTCTGTCCGTAATCATTTCCTTTTCCGGGGCAGAATTCCAAAACCATTCAGTGTATTTGATCGAAACTTGGCAAATCTATCAGGCACATACTGAAGTGGTGCCTTTTGATATTTTGGGATTTTTCTAATTTTTATTTTTTTTCAATTTTTATGGAATGAAGTTGGACATAGGCTCAATTGGGGATGGGGTTTGTTTCCGGGGCAGAATTCGAAAACCATTCAGTGTATTTGATCGAAACTTGGCAAAGCTATCAGGCACATACTGAAGTGGTGCCTTTTGATATTTTGGGATTTTTCTAATTTTTATTTTTTAAAATTTTTATGGAATGAAGTTGGACATAGGCTCAATTGGGGATGGGGTTTGTTTCCGGGGCAGAATTCGAAAACCATTCAGTGTATTTGATCGAAACTTGGCAAAGCTATCAGGCACATACTGAAGTGGTGCCTTTTGATATTTGGGGATTTTTCTAATTTTTATTTTTTTAAATTTTTATGGAATGAAGTTGGACATAGACTCAATTGGGGATGGGGTTTGTTTCCGGGGCAGAATTCGAAAACCATTCAGTGTATTTGATCAAAACTTGGCAAATCTATCAGGCACATACTGAAGTGGTGCCTTTTGATATTATTATTTTTTACGAATTTTTATTTTTTACAATTTTGATGTAAAGAAGATGGACCTAGACTCCATTGGTGAACGGGTTCGTTTCCAGGCCAGAATTCGAAAACAATTCAGTGGGTAAACAATGTATGCTTCTTAAAGAACATTCAACTGTTGACTCATTACATACAGAATTGCACATTTACTAGTGGTTACTTTACAGACAGCTGCCGGGGGGATATGTCATCTTTCTGATGACTTCTTGTCTTGAGCACGCTTGAATGCATCTCATACAGCAGTATGACAGCTCTGATCCAGAAACATATATTTTCCATGTTAAAATTCAAGGAACCAGTTGAGTGCAACTCATCCTAGGGTACCATTCTGTATTCTGATTTTGGCTAGGGTACATGTCTGAAGTACCTGTGCCGACGACCCCTTCAGTGATATTTGGCCCTAATTGTCTCTGGCTGTGGCTTTCTCTAGATTGATCTTGCATACCTCTTCGGTCATTAGGGTTATAGTTATTTTATGTTTAGTGTCAGGCCTGAAACTTGCAACTAAAATGGTCGCCTATGCGACCTAAATTTCAATTTGTCTGCTAAATAAAATTCAATATACCCAATATATCTTGGTGCAACTAAATTCCATTGCTTCACATACGTATAGTCTGGAAGGTAATTTAAGGTACCGACATTTACTACAATATCTGGAAAACTATCGGACCTACTCCAGTCAAAGTTGGTATGAGATTATCAAACAGTCATACATAACTGGATATTACATTTAAAGACAATCGGTGCATGAATAATTTTTTTGTCTATTTAGCTATCACTATATTTCATCAACAACCAGACCTGTTCGTCACGGGTGGAACGAGCATTCATTGAAACAGCCATCCGCATAATTCTACCCCTGCGTCACAGGGCCATGTGACACAGTTGAACCAATCAACTCAACTCGAAAGGGTACACGGGAATCATGCACGTATGAATACGGTGTTAGCGTTGGGCTTCTCAACGTGAGGGATTCATGTGCACCCTTTCGAGTTGATTTGTTCAGCTGTGTCATATGGCCCTGTGACGCAGGGGTAGCATTATGCAGATGGCTGTCTCAATGAATGCTCGTTCCACCCGTGACGAACAGGTCTGGTTGTTGATGAAATATAGTGATAGCTAAATAGACAGATTTTTTATTCATGCACCGATTGTCTTTAAATGTAATATCCAGTTATGTATGACTGTTTAATAATCTCATACCAACTTTGACTGGAGTAGGTCCAATAGTTTTTCAGATATTGTAGTAAACGTCGGTACCTTAAATTACCTTCCAGATAATAGACACAAACATAAATAATTTGATTGACATTTGCAACGCCATTTTCTCGATCGCCAGTGTTTTCACGGTCGCAATGGTACACATATACCGTACTCATAGTCTGTTGCATTAACATTCCCATAGCTCAATGCAGCATTAGACCGCCTCCGTGGTCTAGTGGTAGAGCGCCTGCCCGGAGAGCGGAAGGTCCGGGGTTTGATCCCCGACTGCGTCATACCAAAAGACGTTAAAAGATGGTACTTGTTGTTACCCTGTCTGGCGCTCGGCATTAACATGATTAAGAGGCTAAAACAAGGACTGGTCGGCTCGGAGTCAGTATACTGTGTCTGAGTGGGGTATTCATGTTAAACTGCGGCATGGTATCTCAGTGAGCTAGCACTATAAATCGGCATCAGTCCGGACTAGTACAAGCAGCCACACAAACACACACACACGTACATGCACGTCGCTATATAAGTGCAATAATCTTGGACGCGACGTTAAACCCCATTTCACCTCACCACCACCTCAATGCAGCATTATGCGGGATTCGGTTACATAAACTCTTTCAACACCGTAGGCCTGTACACCGGCCAAGAAGACTTGAGTCCCAAAAAATGTAGGCCGGTAGACGCGGGCAAACCGTAGTCACGTCAAAAAAGTATATAATTTTATGTACCTACCTGTCATATCATTCATTTATTAAATATATCACATTTCACAATGTCTGAAATACGTATTCCATTTCAATTCATAATTTTTTATCGATAGATTGAAAAACTATTCACTATTTCCCGCAATGTTATTGAAAATAAAATTCTTGGACACACACTTCCACAACGGGTCCACATTGAACATGTCAAAGAGCAAAATAAAGACATTTCAAGCAAATCTTTAAATATATTATGCAAAGTAATAAATACAATGAACAAAAATATTTCTAAAAGGTGTCAAACTTACATCTAAGTTATTATTTCCATCTTTTCGTGCGATCGCATGTAATGTTAGTTAAATGACTTCTCGACTTTCGTCGCCTTGCTCAGACACAATGTTTAATGCCAAAATATATGCATGAAAAATCTTTGTCACAGCTTGTAACCTTGCATGATACATCCACAAAGTTTCATATTTTTAATATAGGTCGCGATTTCCTGCTTAAAAGCATTAGGAATAACAAGATTTAACAAAAATCATTCGTCAAAATCTGAAATTCATCACACACGAGGACAGTACCATAGCTGTAATTTGATTAGTTGCCTTAGGTCACATGCTCAAATTTGACCAATCACAAACCTTGTACCAGATTTAAGCAGGAAAGCGTCATTAGAAACCAATTTTTATCCAATAGAATTCCATGCAAGTATTGTTACAGACACGAAAAGACTCCAGGTAATGTTACGACCGTGTAGATGAAAAAAAACAAGCTTTCTAGCGGTGTGTCATATGACAGTTTTCGAAAACGGAGGTATTTCATATTCATACAAAGTTTCGAAAACGGAGGTGTTACTTCATGTTACTGAGCGCCTTTTGCGGGAAATAAATTATTTCATTGTTGCTAATTTAAGAAAAGAGTGAACCTGGAACAAAATTCATTGCATAATGAAATGGTAACACCATTTACAATACCGATATTCGCTTTTAATGTCTTATCACTTTGAATATATTCAGTTACGATCTAAACACATATTGTTGAAGACCTACAGAAATCTGTTAATGACAGATTGTTGTCTCCTGCATGCCAACGAAAAGAACAGCAGATCGGGGAAAATATGTCTACTAATGATAACTGTACTCGCGAATAATGTCTCCTAAAGTC